CGTGTGCAGCTTTTGCTTTCCCTATTAAACTGTCTTTTTCTCAACCCATGAGATTTCTCACTTTTACCCTTCTCATTTTCTCCCCGTCCCACCCCAGAGGGCAGTGAGTGAGCGGCTGGGTGGGGCTGAGCTGCCTGCTGGGGTTAAGCCAAGACAAGATCAAAAATCATTTAGAGATTCCTTTCAAAGACTTCTCTAAATCAGGCCTTACGTGCATAAAAGTGATTGCAGGGGATGTACAGCTCTCCTCTTTATAAGGGATAACCTTTGCCAAGCTCGGTGAGGTGATTTGTGTCTGCAGTGGCAAGGCTCCCTTTGATTAAGGGTTATTGCAGCAGTAATGGCATGCATCAGTTTTGCTATTCTGAAAACATTCCTTTGCTCAGGCTGTTCAGATTAATGGCAGTATAATCCAGGTCAGTATCAAAATTCTTGCAGGAGCACCATTTATACTGTATTTTGTTATTCTCAATAAATAATCTTAGTAGTGATCTTTAGTTCATCGTTTGCATTTCATGAGTTTCTAAGCCTGCAGTTTTGGGGACAGAGTAAATAGGATCAAGATTTCTTAATTATTGTGTTTTAACAGATTGCCCATGCTTGCTGCTGGGTCACTTCGCTTTTTCAAAGTAGGGAAATGAATAAATGTAATCTTAGTGTATAAAAGCATGCGTGGGGGTAAGTTCATACAGGCTCTCCCTCTGTGGCTCTCTTTATGGGTTAATTAAGTCACGCATAATGGTACTTAAATCCGTATAAGATAGTCTGGAGAAATGCCTACCAACAGCTAATCTTGAAAAAAAGCAAGATCTAAGAAAAATCTGGCCTTCTGTACTTTCATATTTTATGGGGAAGAGATGCATGGAGGGTGCATGTCTGTGCACAACTTTCTAAGTATCTCGTTATGAGCACCAGAGGAAAGAATTCCTTAAAAAATTTATGAAATATGGCTAAATGTTCTGACTGGATTTCTAAATCCTTACCTCCTAGCCCTCATAGCAGTTTTCCAGGCAGAGTTACATAAGGGTGCAAGATTTAAATGTCTAATGAGCATACAACAACTTAAAAACAGCAAGACAGGTTTAGGCATCCTGGCTGGAAGACTAACACATAGCTTAAAAAGAAAATGCGAAAAAATAAACACAGACTAAAAGAAAATCGGTCTTAGCCTTTGAATTGCTGTACAAGTTCCAGCTGTGTTATTAAATATATTCTGTCAGACTTCCTCCAAAGCCAGCAATGAAATGCCGGGGAAGAGGAGGTGGTGGTGGGAGACCCTCTGCCTCGGTTTCTTACTGCTGAAGCGTTACGCAGCGGCAAGCTGGAGGGGTTCTCCTGAATGCCGAAGTGCTGGACTCTCAAATATTGGCCTTCCAATTGTTGGGCTTTAAATTAAAAAAAAAAGAAAATTCTTCACGGTGCACACTTGTACAGCTGATGAGGGCATCTGTGCTGCCATCCTGTACTGCAATACCTATTAGCCTCCCATTTTTCTCTGACCCTCCCATTCATCAGCTTTTTGAAGCTGTAGGGAATGAAGCAAGCGCTGGCGTTGCTCTTTCCTGACTCTGCAGCGTGCGTTCTGGAGGGCAGTCCGGGAGACCGACAGAGAAGGGGTTAAAGTGCTCTGTGTTTTGCACTTGGTTACTAACCGTCCAGCCAAGGGGGAATTGTTCTCCTTTCACTGAAGTCCTTCAATCTCTTTGCATTACATTTTAAAAGCTCCCTGACTGACAGACATGGCCGGAGGCAGAGCTCTGCTGGGAGAACTGTAATGTACAGAGCCTCCTCAGCAAAGAGCAGTGGTATAGCAGTTAAATTGAATACAGCGTGATTTTGGGCTTTATGAAGCAGTGCAGACTATCCCACCACTTTTTCATGTTGTTTATTTCCAGCTCACATCTATGGCTGGGCAATTCAAAAGGATACTTTGAGTTCTTTGTTTGATTTTTTTTTTTTTTTTTTTTTTTTTTTTTTTTTTTTTTTTTTGCTATGTTTCATGGTTACTGTGATTTTGCCATAAAAACTAGGCATGAACCCTGCAACTGTGGGTCAAGAGAAGTACAGGAGTTTGGAATTCTTGGAACTGAATTATGGATGAACACAGTCTGAACCTGGTGTTATATACCGTTGAATGCGTTGAAGAGAGAAGCACAAAAAGTCACGTGAACTGTTAAGTAAAACAAGCTGTTAATAGAAATGCATACCAAATAAATTGAGTGCAGTTCTCTAGTGTGGCAGGGTCCTGTCTTGAAGTTTCTTTGCTGGAATAAAATCCGTAGAATACAAATGATACTGCAGGTGGGAAGTTTGTACCCATTGTCCCTAACAATATTTTGCTCTAGATGAAAAAAATTGAAATGTCTTGAGCACAACGTAGAACTATTTTTTTAAGGATCATGAGCAGGTAGGAGTTCTTCTCTCATTTTTAATCCTTTCTGAAGCTAGAATTAAAACACTCACTTGCACTAGATACCTTTTCACCACATTTTTTACTGTCTTTTTTATTAAGACCTAAAACATAGCCTTTCTAACCAGAACAGAAAATCTTGCCCTAAATTTAGAATGGGAAGTGCAGTTATTTTTCTAGGGTGGTTTTTCTCTTCAAAACTTGTTAGATTTTCCTGGCTCCCAGTTATAAATCCTTTCTATTTAGATACTTTAGCATGTACCCAACAAATAAGAATTTCTATGTTATTTATTGTTATGGATAGTAATAATATTATTCATAAGGAAAATATAACCTTTGGCAGTGTTTGAAAATGAAATATATGTGTGGTTAGGTACTTTACTGTTTCTTCTTTTCTGAGGTCCATATCACGTCATTGATTTTTAAGTAGAACTCTTTATTGATTTGGTAGAAACTTCTGCTTAAAAATCAATGACACAATATGGCCCTAACAAAGTGGTGAATTCCATAGTGATATAAATTGTATTTTTGTTTTTAAAATGTAAAACGCATCCATCTTAAATCCTACAAGCAGTATTTCTTGTACCTGACAACCAGCAGACCATAGAGTAGGCTGGCACTTCTTTCCTAGGTTGCAGGTCTTAATGAGACAAGATTATTAGTTTATTCTTAAGTCTTCAATCCACAGTGGGATTTAAAATTTGTTAGCATAGAACTGTGGTTTATGGAAATGTTAGTTATCAGAAAACAGCTTCGATCCCCTTCTATTCAAGTTAGTGCAACATGCAGCCTGCCAGTCATCCGCCCCTAATGAAGAGCAGCCACGGAAGGGAAAGTGTGTTTGTTAAACAGATGTCCTGGACCCCATGAAAGTGTGAGGGTTCAGTTTTAACACCTGCATCAGGGCCAGCATAGGCAAGGACAGCTTCATGAAAGCCATGAAGCCATTCTCTCTATTAAAAGATCGATGGCTTGGAAGAGTGGGGAAAAATAAACGCTGGAGTCTTCATGTTGCCTCAGTACTTACTGCTGCCCACCTGAAAATGAATGTAGATCGTGCATGGTTGTTTATTGTCTAATTCTAGAATAGCTCCATTTGTTTCAGCATGGATTCCATAGCTTTAGCAGTCTTCAGGGTGTCTTTACTGGGGGCTGGGTCACAGCATTTTTAGGTGATGTGAGTGCTCATTTTCACCAGCTTTTATTGCTGCTGAATTTGGTGCAAAGTTGCAAATGACAGCTAGAGCTACATTTTATTGAACTTGTTTCATATGCCATAATATTTAAATATTTACATCCCTAATATTTAAACATTTACATCCTTTAGCACTGTCATCTTATTAATTGCAGACAATGAATCAGACCATTTCATAAATACAAAAAGAAAGCACCTCTGTTAATTATACTGTGGTTAGAAAACACAGTATATTTTCCTATCTGTCTTTCTGTTAAAATGGTCTGTGCTGGTATAAACAGAGCAATGTGAGAGCATAACAATTCCTTTAGGTTCTTTTTTTTTTTCTTCTTTGCTGATGGCATTTGGCTGCTACAAGGATCACCACAGTTTTAATTGTCACCTTGATGTGATAGTTCTGTCTCAGCCCTGTAGTTAGTTAGCACTGATTTATTTTTAATCTGTGTACCTGGCATTTGTCAGTATAAATGAGTATCATTGCCTGATCTTACTGGCTTCTGTGTTGTTTCATTTTCTACGCTGACTGCAGTTCTACCATTTTCTCCAGATATCAGGACTGCATTTTTTAATGTACTTTACAGTAGTCCTGAAGAACAACACAGCTATCATTTTGATACAAGGCTTGTTGTGAGAAGAGAATGCCAGTCACAGGCTTCCTATTGTGTGTTGGTGGCTTTGCGGTATTTAGCTGTATAGGCACTATTTCCCATTTTTTTATTTCCCATGGAATTCATACAAATCTATCCTCCAGGGTCCAAGGTTCAGTATAAACTTTGTCCAAGTCCACCCATAGACAGAAAGGGGTTGCTTCTGGCAGAGACAAGCAAAGCGTTCCTGCTCTGGACAGTAGGACTCGAGAGTGGGTGCTCTCTTCTCCAATATTTTCTATGTAAATCCAGCACGAATATTTTAGACATCGCTGACGGGTAACGGTTTTGTCCGGTAACTGGGTCAAAAAGGAAAGGCTATGGGCCTGTCCTCAGACAGACACAAAGGTAATGCTAAGCAGAGCAAGAATAAGCTATTCCTGTAATAACTGTACAATGTTCTAGAGCAGCTCAGTGCTACAATCAAAATAGCAATCTCTTTTAAAACTGTGATTCCTAATCTTTTTCTCTGTCTCTGGAAACTAACTAGGTGTGAGAATTTTGATGAACGCTTCAATGTAATTTTATGTAATTTGATGTTGCCATGTAAATCTCTTTTATAGGTCCCTTTAGATGGAATTTAATGCGGCAAAAACCTTGTCATCAGAAGGATTAATGCCTGCATTAGCATTTCTGCAATAAAATCAGAAGCTAAGTGGTGGAGGCCACAGACACCTCAAACCTGGATTCCTCTGCTCTGCATTAAGTGCTGGAGTTTTTATTACTTGCTGTAGGGAAGCCGTTGCCAATGCTTACAAGGAACTGCTTATCCCTGCTTCTCTGGGTCCTGTTTGATGGAGGTCTCCTAACGCCACTGCATCCACAACCGCAACAGACTTTAGAAGCAGAGCCAAGAGAAAATGTTGTCCCAGTGCCAGGGAGGAGGTCATCTGCCCAGCGAGTCAAGCGAGGCTGGGTGTGGAATCAATTTTTTGTGCTGGAGGAGTACATGGGCTCCGAACCTCAGTATGTGGGAAAGGTAATTTTTTACTCTTTCTTTAAAAGTTGAAATGACACAGACCAATAGTGAAAAGTGCTATAAATGTGTGCCTGTTTCTGGTGGGGCAAATCTTCAACTGACAGTAGTTCCCCCTGTCCATCCCCTTCACCGTTCAGCCTCTCATATAGCCACTATAGATGTTACTATTCTTTTTAGTGCACAAGTTTATAACATTTACTTTCTATCTTTGTGTGTTTGTCTTATTTCCTTATCCTTGGCTTTGGAGTGAAACAAAACCACTGTGAGTTCCGAGATAAGTTTGTGGCGCACGACTAACTTTAATTGAATCTACTGTAATAGCATACTTGATTTGGAGCAACAAATGTCAGACAGATATCAGAGATAAGACTTAAACCAGAAATCTCTAGCCCAGAATGCACAGTCATTTCTGTGATTGGTATGGTTACTCCAAGTCAGTTTTCAGCTAACGAAGATACCTGCTTTTTGCTCTGTAATCTCATGCCTCGGTATCATTTGCTTTTATTTCTGATTGTTCAGATTATTTTCAAGTATTTCGAATATGTTTTATTGCTTCATAATTCAAACTCTTGCATTATAGCTATTATACCCTGTGTGCAGACATGCACACTCACACATGCAGACAATTTATGCAAGTCTCTCATTATATGAACATGGGTTTTGTAATAGGGGGTAAGTAATTTTATAGCCAACTGTTCAAGGGGTGTGGGGGGTGAATTTAGATAATAGAATTTTCAGAAAGAAAAGCTGAAACGACCTGAAAAAAATAGTAGCACAGTATATAATTGGTTGCTATGTATAATTTCCCATTTAAGTAAAGGCCCTTACTCAAAAGAAAATAAGAGGTCAGGGATTCATTTCCTGGGCCACAAATGCCACTTCCCTAGACAGTGAGGTTCAAATTCACTTACCATAAAAATGAGGCATCACACTTCGGTTTTTACTTTAATACCATGCTTTAACTTTTTTTAATGTAAAAGCTGAGAATGTGGTGCTTTTTTCTAAATATAAATAAAATTCACAGAAAACTAATTTTCCTTCCTAGCCCTCCAGGAAACTATTGTGAGTAGAGGATGTATAAATAAGACCGCAAAAGACTACATGTTGTTTGCTAGATGATTTGACAAACCAGCCAAAAATGTACTTGGATATTACACATGTAGGCATTAGTGTTAAGCACTAAAACTTACTAGTCAAAACAATTCACAAAGCAGTATGTTTATATCACAAAGATAATGAGTTTGTTTTACAGTCTGAAGAGAGGGGGATCACGTAATGAAAAATTACACCTTTGTGACACCCAGTTGATACAAATTACACTTTCTCTAAGACATATCTTTCTTCCGGCCACTTGCTAAAGATACAAATGAGGACTATAATCACATTGGATGCTGTAGCACAGGCAATGTGATTGCTGTGCTTTTTACCTCAGAAGACAGGGATGTTATTGCTGCACCACTGTAATTCTTTAGTCTTTATTCCTCTATGTAAGATAGTCTGGATAGTCATTTAGGGACAGTTCTAAGCTGCCAAAATAATACTAGTTTTGCACAAAATTGGCTATTATCAATACATTTGAATTTGAGCTTATAAGCAACTTCAGAACTAATGGGATATTTTCATTTGGAGTAATACCTATCACATCACAGATTTACCTGGAATGTTTTTATCTCTTAAGACTTTTTTGAACTCTTACAAGTTGCGGACCTAATTGCAGTGTAGCACATGCAACAGTGATGTTTCTTGACAGGATATCATATACCACTGTTACCTAATAAATAAAATAAAAACCGGAAGGACCTTAGTGGTGAAGGACAAAATAATTAAGGATGTTTAATTAGTAAATCAGTAACATCAGGTAAAAAAATCTGCTTCCAGAATAATGCAAGACATTCCAGGTGATCATTTTTTTCAACAATGTTTATTACCTGCCAAGCATCCTTTTGATGTTTAATACAACTTATTTTATCTATATTAACTATTTGCTTCAATACGCCTGAAAAAAGAACCTGCCAGTTTTTGGATAACTCTTCTTTGCCTAGTTTCTTTAAAAAACAAAACAACAACAGCAACAAAAAAACCAACAAGGTGGAATTGTCAGTATCTTCCCCTTATTTTCCACAAAGCTCTCAAAGAAGGTAGAGCACTGCATGGGAGAAGTTCTTTAGAGAAATTTTGCTTTTAAATCCAGATAGTGAAAGCCATGCTTAATATAAATTTAAAGCATTGTCAACATACTGAAATACACTCAATAGTGGCTAATCAGTATCTTTAGAGCTTATGTAATTTTTAAGGTATGAAATGCAATTGAGTTCTCGATTGGTTGCAGAAAAAAACTGGGTTTATATTTAGCATATATAAGTTAGCTTTATTCCAAATTCATATATTTTCAAAGTAATTCTTTTCATAATACTCCTGTGCTATACTTTAAAGTGATATTAAGTATATGATAAAGTGCAGGATATTTCATGTGACCTAAAATCACAGGGTTTTAATCTTCTTCTTCCAGCCATGATAGCTGGACACAATACAGTGACATGTGCATTGGCATTTATATTACTTATTATAGAACTGCTGCACTAATAATGTCACAGTAATTTATAAGTAGGAGTTTAATGTGTCTGCTAAATCAGCTGACAATTTCCTAAACAGCTAGGGGTAACTAGTTAATTTTGGAAGCCACCTGTAAGAGAACACAGATTTACAGCAATAATGTCAGCTGTTATCAGCCAGTGCACTTAATTCCTTTTATGTCTGTTTTTAAAAGACTATCTCAAGAAGTGTCAGGTTGCAAATCAAAATATAGTTTAGAAACTGCTGGGGATTAGTCTAGGTCACAGTTAGAGATCTTGAAATAGTGCTTCATGGTGACACATTAAAAGCATTTAACCTAAATATTAACTCAAAGGTTGGAAATCCTCTGCTTGCATAATATGGAAGAGCCATGAAAATCCATCAGATTAGCAAACAAAAGTCAGCCCCCTTCAGCAGAGATCCACGTAAGCGGAGCCAGACTAAAAAGCTAAATTGGAATATGGCGTTGCCACGTGACCCATGAAAACTGAAGGAGTGCTGGAAGGCTGGCTGTAAAATAAGGCTGGCTCGTGTACTTTGCTGTGCTTTATGTGTTTTCCTGGTACTGTGAAGCTCCAGAAGGCCGGGCAAAACAGCACATGTGTGGATTAAGATAAAAAAGTTCATGATTCTTTTTTTATGCCAAAGCTTGGTCCTCACCGAACGGTGACAGAAATCATCACAAAAATCTGACAGTATCAGATCCTCAAGCACGGCCGTGTCCCAACACAGTTTATAACCACTAACGAGGCAGCAGTTTTAATTGCCCTTATGCAGGGGTAGCTCAAGGGGGTGCAACCCCAGCAGAACATTATAAATCTTGCCGTGACCTTTCTATATTGTTGTGTTTCAATAGTGACATGCAGAGGCAGCATAATAAAATGAAAGTTCAAGAGAACAAAATAGACAAGAACAGTATAGGTTCTTCAAGATAATACTAACAAAAGTTTTTAGCTGTTACACGTGTAGCATGCTTCCTTTTATGTATGTTAGTCTTTGCATTCCTAGTGTGTAAATGCATTACCCCTTTCTTGGGTTGTACACCTGCACAGTTGCTCTTAGTAAGGATTTTTGCTGGCTGTCCTCAAGCTTGCAGAGAGAGGCATGTGGCAGCTTGCAATGAACGCAGACTGGGTGCATGGGAAAAGATTGCAAAGTCCTCTTCCAGGTAATGGCCATTTCTCTTCTGTTTTCCAGTGTGCAAAACCCAAAATATTCTTAGCTTGCCAAATATTATCTTGATAATGAAGAACCTATATGTTTCACAACTTTTTGTTCTTTAAACCTCCGTTACATTATAGATGCTCACATACAAACTACTACAGGTATTTTTTTGTTATGATCCCCACCAGCTGAAAAATGTGATAGTCACGACTGCCCTACAGGGTACACATAACAGTATGGTATTTTTCATCTGACTCAGTCCTGAGAAATCGTCATCATCTTCAGAGGCTTCCCCATATATCAAGGCAGAAACAGTGCTGATTTAGAGGAAGCAGAGCTTTGTATCTGTGACCAGAACACAGTGTTTTTCTGAAACCTAGTAATTTATCCTCTGCATCTGAGATAGGAGCATAGAATTCGTTTATGCATTTTATAGTGGATAGTTTTTAATATAAGGAAATTAATGTTGACCACCTTCCATCAGGCTTAAATCAACACCTCTTTCTGAAGGCACACTCAGATTTTACATTTATTTTCCCTCTTGGGTGAGTGTCTGGATGACAGGGCAGTCTGCGAAGGAAATTTTGCATTGCTTGTGCAGAATCTGTTCTAAGACAAACAAATTTACAGTGCTGTGGCTATCCTTTTGGTGTTATTCACAAGTACTGAGTTAACTTGAAGAAAAAAATAAAATTAAAGGAAAAGAAATACATGCAGTGAATTTGAAAGCTACTGCCCTTTGAAGGAAAGAAAAACCCCAAACCTTAAGTCTCTGTTCATAACTGTACCCTGATTAATCTGATCTCTCTTTTTTATTATATTTCTACTGGATTTCTGCTAAGAGGGTCACAATAATATTTTGTTTAAAGCTGTCATAAAGGTTTTTCCTAGCTTATCAGATCCTATGCCCACAACTGAAGTAACAATATTTGAGAGAGACCTGTATATCATTTCCATTAGACATTTGCACAGTGCCATCTTCAAGGAGATGAGAGTTGTTTCAGGGACCGCTGCTAGTAATGTGTTAATTAACTCCCATGGTGCAGGACATCACAGTTGCTCATTTCTGGATGATTTTAATATGAAAGATCTTCCAAAAAGTCTTTATAAGAATGAGCTTGTTCAGTACATCTGTAACCCACAGGAATTCCCATACCCACCTCCGACTGCAGATATCACAGTGAAAGTCTTGTTGGGCCTTAGTGATCCTTAGATGATAATTTAAAACGTGATCAGACATGATCATGTTAGCCTGGCTTACT